ATCGAATATTCTCACCAATATTATATTTATCCATTACATGCCTGCTACATAATTAAATCGTCACAATTTCACCATAATTCCTAACTAATTAAAAATGATAATAAATTTAATAATTAAACTTTTAAATATCACAAATTTAAGGAAAATGACAACATTATTATATATGTGGAGTATAATATCTCTTGACATAATATCGGTAGACCTGTCAATCGGTGGCATGATGATGTGGGTTATATGGATGTAATTGGTGTTGGTCGATAATTGATGTAGAAGGTGGTTGGTGTGGATTTAAGAAAGAGTTATATGAGATAGATAAATGGGGAAGAGAAATGCATGTTGGAGTTAGACAAACGATCAAACTTAATCAATAAACTAGATATTAATTTTCAAATAAATGTAATTTAAAAAAAAAACCATAAAATCGAGTCGATGGGTCGGGTTTGACCCATAAATGTACAGGTCAAACGGGTTCGGGTTAAATTGGATTACGCGTAAACCTGGGCACCGTGTCGGGTCGGGCCGCCGCGGGCCGTGCCTGGCGGGCCACGGGCTGGTTCGTGCCGTGCCCGTCGTGCTGGCGGGCCCAGGATTTCGTGTCGTGCCGTGCCGGCCATTTTCACAGGCCAGCCCACGGCACGGCCCTCGTGCCTGGCGGGCTCGTGCCTTGCCGGCCACGTGCCGGCCTGCGGGCTGATGCAGTTTTCAAATAATTTTTTTTTTTTTTTTTTTTTTTATGACAACATTATAAATTAATAAGTTTATAATGTATATAAGTTATAAAATTATAATTATAAGTTTTATAAGGTTATAACTTATAAGTTTATAACTTATAAGTTATAAGTTATTAAGTTATGAATTTTATAATTATAAGTTGAATATTTATGTTTTATAATTTGTATATTCAATATTTATATTTATATATTTACTTTATACTATTACTTTAAAATTTAATGTTTATGATTTATTAGTAATTGGTATAATTTTATTTTATTTTTTAATATGAATTTACAAATTGTAACAAAACGGGGAAAAAAGGCAAATTGGACTTTGGACGTGAATAATGCGTACTTTATATTATTATTACTTGAGTTGAGAAAATTGTACAATGATAACAATGATAAAAATCATACAATGATGGTATTAAACAAAAATTGGAAAATGATAAAATTGATATTTTTAAAATCGTACAATATACAATAATTGTCTATTCTTCTTCTCCTTCTTCTTGCTCGTCTTCGTCTTCGTCTTCGTCTTCGCCTTCGCCTTCAAGGTCATCGGCTAGTTGCATAGATTGGGAACTAGCCGAACCCGAACCGGAAGCGGAGATTCCTTCTTCGTTGTCGTTGTGGTCGTAAGAACGGTCTTGTGAGCGATTTTCCGCATCCAACCAATCTTTGAAACACACGCACATTTCTAGTGTTTCGGGTTTTAGACTTGTTCTTCTATCGTCTAAAACCCTTCCGGATGCGCTGAAAGCTCGTTTGGAGGCGACGGAGGAAACTTGGATAGCAAGAATGTCTCGTGCCATTGCCGCCAAAGTTGGATGCTTCGAGCTTTGTTGTTTCCACCATGCAAGGAGGTCGAGGTTGTTTATCTCATCGTCGTCCATGCCTTTGGTGAAGTCGTAACTCAGGTACATCTGCAACTCCGAGACGTCGCTTTGCGTTCTCCTGATTGATGAATCACCTGAAAACCTTGAAATCAAGTTAGTAGCTTGTGAAAATAAATGTTTGGCCTTCTTACTTACGTTTTTGGATGGTTGGGAAGGCCCTGAGCGAGGAACGGTGCCATATTTGGCTTCATAGACTCTATATAAAGCAAAAAACTGATCCTTCACATTAGTCTTATAGTTTTCTACATCATCGTCAAGAAACATGCATTGAAAGTAAATGTCAACTAACATAAATGTGTTTCCATACTTTTGCCTAGGATCTAATATGGAAGCAAAAATATAAATCAAAGGAATCTCACTATAATATTTACGCCACTTTTTTTCCATTGCTGGAAGATACTGATCATAATCACTTTGATGGCGATGATCAGCGAAAAGTTGGGCGAGTAAGCATGCATTAGAAAGAAAGTTTTGAGCACAAGGATTGTAAACAGTAGAAAAACAATACGTCATGTTATATAATAACTGTAAAAATTGCATATATCTTTCACAGTTATTCCAATCATCATCATACAAAGAATTTTGTGGAAATTTTTGGTTGTAAAATAATATTAACGGGCCCTTGTACTCAATTGCCTTTGTTAACATGTCATAGGTGGAATTCCACCTAGTTGGGCAATCGGTTCTAATTTTTATTACCCTTATCTTTTGTTGTTTTAGAAAACTCTTCCATTCTTGGTATCTCATGTTAGAGCTATTAATAGACATAATAGCATCTCTGATTTTGCTGTAGTATGGGCCAATTGCCCGAACTCCATCCTGTACACATAAGTTAAGTACATGGCAAACACATCTAGTATGAAGAGCTTCACCGTCTAATAGTACATCGGTTAAGTTTTGTTTGATAAGATTAGTTGTGTATGTCATAGAGGTTGCATTATCAAAAGTCATAGACATCATTTTATCTCGAAGGTTGTATTCGTCTATTGCTTGCATTAAATGGTGAGCAATGTTAATGCCGGTGTGTGGGTATTCCAGCATTTTGAAATGTATTATTCTTTTTTGTAACATCCATTGATCATCTACCCAATGGCAAGTCACACATAAATAGTGATATTTATAACCACTATCCCAAGAATCGGCTGTTAAAGATACTCTACAGTTAAGGTTACTCAATTCGGCCTGTAACCGGACTTTGTACTCTAGGAAATTTTTCATTGCGGCGGAACGAACGGTTTTCCTAGAGATTCTTTTATGTTGGGGTTGTAGTGCTTTGTTAATGTAGGTGTTGAATGCGTCACTTTCCGAGAAAAGAAAAGGTTGTTCGGCGTGTACTATCATTTTTCCTAGTTCATCCCTATCCCTCTCATAGTTGCATGTAAAGCCGTATGGATGGAATTGGGAAATTTTGGGCTGGGTTGGATCACTAGCTGGTTTTGCACAAGCTTTCATGTGTCTAGATAAGTGTCCCGTCCCGTTTTTGGTAACTGCCGTGAATACACTATTACATGTTTTACATTTTGCCCATTGTTCACCATCTTTACTTAGGACAAAATAACGCCATACCTCACTCCTTCGGTTTTTCAAAAGTAGCATCTCAGTTTCGGTTAACCATTCATGATGTGTGTGATGGTTAGTAGTGGGACTAGTGGGAGTGGCAGTAGAAGGGGTAGAACCGGAGGGAATTCGGGTACTTTCTTGGCTACCTTGGCTAGAACAATAGTTTTGTTGATCACCGATATAATTAGGTGGAAATTGGTATGGTGGTAGTGGAAATTGGTTTAGTGGTGGTGCTGGAAATCCCGACGTATTATATGGCTCATAGCCCGGGGGGAAGTAAATGGGGTCATTGGTTTGACTCGTAATTTGGGGGCTCGTTGTATTTGGTGGTTCCCTAGAACTACTACTACGGATAAGTCGGCCTTTCCCCCTAGACCTAGATGATGGGTTGTTCGATGCCATAATTAACAATTAAATTTTTAATAAAAAGTGGTTAACTATAATAATAATAATTAATAACAACAATTTTAACAATAAAAATATCAATAATATTAATTAATAACAACAACTATAACAATAACAATAACAATAACAACAAAAATAAATAATAACAACAATTATAACAATAATAATAATTAATAACAACAATTATAACAACAACAATAACAATTAACAACAATAATAATTAAACAAGATTATTCTAATAATAACAATAATACAATAATAAATTTAAGATTAGTTTAGATCTTACAACCGTGCTTCAACGCTCCACTAATTACGATTACGAACTTTTTAATTTTTTCCGATATTAGGAAAATAATTAGAGAATTTAAGAGAATAATTAGAGAATTTAAGAAAATAAGGATTATTAGAGATTTAGAGAATATAAGAGATAAGAAGAAGAGATTGTGATTTTGTGATTTGGGAATGAAATGGAGGTGAGTATTTATAGAATTTTTGGGGAGCAAATTGGCAAAAAACTAGCCGTTTTTTAGCCGTTTTTTTGGCTTATTAAGGAGTTAGAATAAACGGTAACATTACCGTTGGCCCGCGGGCCGTGCCTGCGGGCCGGCACGGCGGGCCATGCCCGTGCTCGTGCCGGGCCGTGCCTGGGAATTCTCAACCCTGTCCGTGGCACGGCCCGTGGCACGGGAGTTGAACTTCGTGCCGTGCCGTGCTTGAATTCGGGTCGTGCCGGGCTGCGCCGAACGGTGGGCCATGCCGGGCGGCACGCGGGCCAACCCGGCCCGTGCCCAGGTTTAATTACGGGTCAAAAAAATTTGTTTGAGACCCACACGGGTCAGATTTGCGGATTGGGTAAAAAATCGAAAGTTCTACATGAAAGGCATAAAATTAAACATCTCATGCTTTAAAAAACACCTATTTTTGACAATTAAGAGTAACGTCTTGACTTTCACATGGCTATACACAAAATCAAACCATTTTCATAGATTTCATGAGCCAATGTCTAAACACACAAGTGATGATAGATTGATAGGGAATGCATCCCGAGGTCGGGTCATATAATGTTGTTTGGAATCATGCACCCTTCTGGCCTGTCACATAAAACCTCATGGTAACCTTAAGTTGATGAAAGAAGAGGTGTATATGTATGTAACTAATAACTTAATTATTTTTTTTATCGGGTGCACCAAGCGAGTGCACAGATCAAGAATTATTCGTTAGTCATTTACAACATTTTATCATTAATAGGTAGAATCTTATAACATTATTTTTATTAGGTAGTTTCTCACAAATATTTAGTTTATTAGGTTGTTTTTGACAAAAAAAAAATTCCCTGAATTTAATTACTTTACCACTTTTTTGTTTTTAAAAACAATTACTTTACCACTTTATTATACATATGTTGTTAAAATGACATTGCAAGTGTATAATAAGTAACGGAATAAATTATGATGAAATTTATGCTTATTTCAAGCTCGAGATACAAATTAACTCTTGTAAAAGGTTTCTCAACACAAAAGTATACAAAGATTTCTTAGGATATAAAATACAAATGCACTTAATTATTCTGACATTTCAACTAGCTTAGTTGATAAAATAAGACTAATTAATGTCACAACGAATGTTGCATATTATTAATATACGATCCCTCAGAGTAATGTTTGCGTAGCAGATTCACAAAATCACTTGTAGAATTCCATAACCCAAAAGCCGTGCACAGTATATTGGAAGTTGAAGCATGTAAATCCAGCTCCTTTGGCTAGAGCTTCAAATTCCCTCTTGCTCCTCTCTTTCCCTCCTGGATTTTGCGTCATCATCAACAAGTCTACTTGGCTAATGGATCGTGCAAAAGTTGTCTTCTCTGGCTCATCCGTGATAATTGCCTCCACGACAATGACCTTCCCGTCCTTTGGCAAGGCCTTGTAGCAGTTCTTCAACAATATCAAGCAACGTTCATCGCTCCAGTCATGAAGGATCCACTACACAAAAATACATTATTGTTAACTTAATACTAGAATGTATGACCCATAAAGAGAAGGGATAAGTAATAGTGATGTGAATGGATGTGATTCGATTCCAAGTCTTATTAATTTAAGTCCCACCTCGGAAATCTAAGATTTCATAACTTTACACTTATTGTATATATATACACACGGAGTATATGTGTATGATTGTAATCTTACCTTAAGAAAGATTGCATCTCCTTCAGGCACACTTTCAAACATATCTCCACCAATATGCTCCACACCTACAAATTAAAAAGTACATACATATTACCATATATATAATTAAGTTTCTGTTCTTGAAAGTTGAGGGTACGAAAATATTAATTAAGAAAATACTTCAGTATTAATCATGCAATGTATGGTGATATACCAGGGCATGGAGGGGCATCTTTGATGACATGAGGCAAATCGAAGTTGATGCCTTGGATGGAAGGATATTGAGATGTAATGAAAGCAACAGAGTGGCCAAGACCTCCACCAACGTCGACGAGTTTGTGGACATTGGAGTTCTCCAAGCCTTTGTACTTCTTGAAAATCTTCTTCACCAACATAATTGATTGAGCCATAGCCTTGTTGAAGACTTCATTGAACCTTGCATCCACACCTGGGTACTCAAATGCGTGCATCCCATGCACCATGTTGAATGCTATTCCTCCTTCCAACACTGAATCTTTAAGCTTGCTCCTAATATTATTTTTAGGAAAACGTTAGGCAGGAATATTATAAATCTGAATCTGCTAAAAGTACGTAAGACTCTGCATACACACACATTTCATCTTTTAGATATTACTTGCACGTTGATCAAGATAAGACATACTTATTTTATTTATGAAGGAAACATAAAATTAGTTGAAGTTAACTTAGACAAAGATACGTAGTTTGGTTTTTGCATTTCATTAATTTTATTATAAATTATTCCGAAGAAAAATATGTTTCAGACTTTACCTATACTTAACATCACATGAACGTTACCATATGTTACATAGATACATCCAAATATACAATACTAATTATATATGCTTTTATCGTCCCATGATGTAACAAAATTCCATTGTCTACAATGCATGCGACCCATCTCTTTCAAAGTTTCAATTGTTAAGGTTAATAATGTGCGACCAATTGTGAATTAATGATATAGGGTACGGATTAGGCTAGCGAACAACTAACCGAAGCCAGTAAGCCACCTAATGTGGTGTACTAGTGTGTAATTTTCGTTGCACCACCTTAAAAAAAAAAAAAAAAAAAAAAAAAAAAGTTAAACAAAAAAGATTTATAAATTATTCAAAAAAAAAAAAGAAAAAAAAAATATTTACATATATACGGAGTATAATGCGTAAAAGACAAACATAATAGGGATATATATGATGTATGGTCCAAACTACTTTATATTGAGCAATCACGTTGCGTATAACATTTCTCTTATGACGTTCGAATTGTAGAAATTTAAATTAAGTGGAAAAAAAAAATTTAAATAGTGGCCATAAATTCATTTATTAATAGGTCTTCCTTAATATCATCTTCAAATACTTATTGACTTATTGTATTGTGGTATAGAGGATTTTTAGAGTGAAAAATTAATCTATAAGCTAAGGAAATTACATTACAAAGATTAGGTCTTAATGAAGGTAAAGCTATAGGAATAATGGTGTTGCCTTTTGTAATTATATACAGTATGAAGTATGGAGTATTTGTTTATGAAATCAATTTTTTATATTGACATTTTTTGTCGAGATAATTGCTTTGTATAAAAAATGTTCCAAGTTTATAATTCTTTTTTGTTATTTTTTTTTTTTACAGACAAGTTTATAATCTATCTATTAACTATAATTATAACAGAAAACTACTGACATCATCCTCTCTCCCAATCTGTATATGTGTCGCTTTCTCATAAAAACTTTTCCCACCAAATGCACTTATGATGTCATATATATATATATATATAGGAATTGGTTATTTTTTTATCATTTTCATTCCAATCTTTTGAGGGTGTCAATAAATAAATAAATAAATAATTTTTTTGGTTGGAATAAATAAATTGATATCGAGCTTAAACTTTTTAGGTAACTACGAAGTTTTTTTGAAGGATTTAATGTTATTTATTATTATTTTATTTTATTTTATTTTATTTTATATTTTTATTTTTATTTTTTTATTATTTTTTTGTAAGGATGCTATGAAGTAAATGTTAGCATTGTTTTGTGTTTCCAAGGTGCTTCTATTTATTTGAATTAGGATCTTTAAATCACAAGTATTTTTATTTTGTATTTTGAACTCTTAGATATGGAGTATATAAATTGGTATGTATATGGTTTGATTAGATCAGATTGGCTTTCATTTTTATATTTTGTTACTCATGTAATTTATGATGATAGCTAGATATCTTTTATGATCTAATTTATAAGTATACACGGAAAAATAAATAATAGAAATAAGCTATTTCATTTCAATAATTTTTGTAATCCGTGCATCGCACTGGTCTAATCTAGTTATCTTACAAAGAAGACAAAATAATGAATGGTGAGACATTTAAGCTAAGGAAGAATTGTCTTATTTGTATTATTTAAGCTAAGGGTGATGGCCTCATGGGTAGGTAATGATTCCCTCAAGTTTTGAGTGATTGTTTTTAAATAGGCATAATTAGTTAGGTTAACTTGATAAGTTGATTTTATTATTATATTGTATCCATAATGATCCCTAAACACAATGAATAAAGGTCTATAATACTCCGTACAGTATTTAAATATCAAAGTTCAAAATGCTTTTATAAGAAAAGTACAAATATCGTTAACAATAATTATTACTCCATCCTTTCTTGTTCATTGCTATACTTTAACAACTATTTAATGATTTGAAGAAAATATTAGCTACTTTGGACATGGTTATATTTGGAAGTTATTATAGATTAATATAATCTATATATGTTAATAATAGGTCAGAACTCAGAAGTGTTATTTTAATCTCTTTTTTTTTTTTTTTTTTTTTTTTAAGAATATCTCTACTATTTAATTTGGCTCCTTATTATAAAGATAACTTCTAGTAAAGTTGGGCATGGGCCGGGCTGGCACGCGGGCTGCTCGGCACGGCACACCAGATGGCCCGGCCCGACACGAGCACGGCAGCGGCACGACACGGCACGTGGAACGGCCGGTGAGCCGTGCCGTGAACAAGGAAATTGAAATTTGGCACGAACACCGGCCCGTCGGCACGGCCCGCCAGGCACGATACTTTTATAATAAAATTAATATTTTTTTAACAAAATAATAAAGCAAATATTGAAAAAAATAATAAAAAAAATGGGCGACACGGGGGGTCGGCACGACACGGCACGCTAGGCACGTGGGCCGTGGACAGACTTGTGAAAATGGCCGGCACGACACGGCACGATGCCCAGCTTTAACTTCTAGCTAGACCCTCATAATAATAATGCGACATTTATGCAAGGATTTTTGCAAGGGGAAAACACGAAAATACTAGAACCACATATTTTCTTTTATCAAAATTTATCTAAACACTTATCCTAATGTTTTCACATTAGTAAAGAAAGAATAAGAAGAAAGAAGGGTAATGAAAACTAACCAGCTTTGAAGAAAGACCTTATCGGTAAATAACTTCAAGCAAGGAGCCAATGAAACACCATCTTCATCAGGAACATAGACCTTAGTCATAGACGTAGGCTTGTAACGCCTTTCAACACCACCATCAGCGGTGGTGACCGTGGTACAACTAACTAAAGAATATGTGGACAATAGCCTAAGCATCCTATCCAACATGGCGGGTGCCTCAGGGTTCCTAGCATGAACCTGAGTAGCTATCTCAACGGGCAAGAGCCCATTGAGACCTGCTTTATCATTAATGATTTGAAGCACCCCGATCTCAATGGCCGCATTGAGGACCATAGGAAGGGCACAAGCATTAGCAATTTGAACTCCATATGAATAATTAGCTTCCTCTTCTTCATCAAGACTCAATGGCTTTTGGTTTTGGATATCAAGTTCGGTGGCTTTTGAAGGGGCCATGATTTTTCTTGTTACAAATTATTGTTTTTTAGTAGATTTGTAGGATTTCTATATATGTTTTACGTAGTAGCTAGTTTGATCATGTAACAAAGGTAGACAAGGTTGGATTTGCTTATATAAGAGTTGGAATGTCGCATACTACAAATAAAATAGTCCGTAATAATTATTGTTAAGGGTTAGTAATCAAAAGTTGGTAAAACCATAGCTGACTAAATGACTAAGTCCAATGAATTAAGAATTAACTATAACCGCATAGGTGCTATATCTTTGCTAACATATAAGATGGCATTGTTAAAGTTTGTCACATGAAAGTGGGCCAATAAATTACAAGGTGAAAGGGATTTTGGGGGATAATATGATGACAAAAAGTACCACTACGTGCATAATAGTACAAAAAAAGTACTATTAAGACAACTTATATTTTAATGGTACATTATACATGCATAATAGTACACATAAATGTATCACTGTAGAAAAACATCAAATGAAAAAAAAAAAAAAGAAAAAAAAACCCCAAAACGCCCTCCTATATACATGCTTAATAAATAGGTGTTATACGCCTATATGCACTCAAATCCAATGGGGTTAGTTGCAATTGCAAATACGTGATACACATACATGACACACCATATAATTGTGTTTTATGGATAGCATGAATATATGATATCATATGATCTTAACAATATGAAAATTAGAAAAGTAAGTTTTACCTACTACGATCTTGTCTTCTTTTCGTTGTCAAAAAAAATAAAAATAAAAGTCAAATATTGATGACTATTTTAATAACTATGCCATGATGATGACTAGTAGTGTTAGTACAGATGTAATGCATCAATCTCCTTTTCCACCAACCCCTTTGCGCCAACCAGCCATTATGAAGGGGACACACACTCTTTAAGTCCTTAAAATATGAACGAACCTCCCATGTTATTTCCTCTTTTTTGTTAACAAGTTTGTTGAGATGCTTTGAATTTAATGTGTCATGTATTTTTGAACTGTCCTTAGTAAAACCGTAAGACTAATAATGTATAATATTATTTGCTAATAGACATACGCATTAATCCGTACTATATCTATCAATTAGTTTGTTGTTTGTTCTATCTTTATAACTAAGTAGCATCATGCTAGTTTAAGTTTAAATACTTATATCTACTTGGCTTGAATGAATTGAGTAGTCTCTAAAAATAATTGGTATATGTTCAAATTAGCCGTATAGAATTATATTCTTATGATGCTAATTGTATTACGGTTATTGTCTTGTATTTTTATTTTTAATATCTTTTTGACACTCTTGTGTTAAAGGCATTAATAATTGAGTTAACATTAGTTTAAGTCCAGTGACAATGAGCATTTGGATGGGGTTGGTGAGCTAACAGGGCCGGCCACTTTGAATTATTAAAGGACCAAACGTAGTGTACACTATACGAAGTATATTATTAAAGGCTCAAATCAACTATGAATTAATTAAAAATAATTATGTACTACAACAGAACAAGTACTATAATTCTATGATTTATTTAATTGTTCCTTTAGTATCTCAAAATTCTTAATGGTCAAGCTTAAGCTAAAAATTTAATTTAAGTAATTTAGTACATATTGGAAAAAAAAATAAAAAAAAATAAATAAATAAAAAGAAGAAGATTTGAGATCTTTCAATGTATAGACCTAGTAGTAAAAAACGCCTATATAAGGTAAATTCTTTACTCGTCTTAAGAACATTTTTTGACAGGCAATACAAGCTTGAGTCTAGGGCCGGGAGATATGGCAAGGCCAAGGTAGGCCATGCAAAGTCTGGGCAAGGTGAATTAGATGGTTTTGGCCACCAAATAGGACTTCTGGGGTACCTTGGAAATTAAGGAAAGCATCTCAATGCCTAACCTTTTCAAGCCTAAAAATGTTCACTATAAGCTACATTAAAGGTTATACATATAAGTAGACCATTTTCGAATATTTTGGGACTTGGTGTCAAAAATTCAAGTATTAGGGGAGGATGCATCTTGAGGCCATAAATGATCATTTTAAGCCATATACACCTACTAGTTAGCTACATAAAGGCATGGGATGACCTTAAAGCTGGGCATGGGCCGGGCTGGCATGCGGGCCGCCCAGCACGGCACGCCAGATGGCCCGACCCGGCACGAGCACGGCAGCGGCACGACACGACACGTGGAACGGCCGGTGGGCCATGTCGTGAACAAGGAAATTGAAATTTGGCATGAGCACTGCAGACGGCACGAACACCGGCCCGTCGGCACGGCCCGCCAAGCATAATACTTTTGTAATAAAATTAATATTTTTTTAACAAAGTAATAAAGCAAATATTAAAAAAAATAAATGGGCGGCACGAGGGGCCGACACGACACGGCACGCTAGGCACGTGGGTCGTACCGTGCCGTGGGCCGACTTGTGGAAATGGTCGGCACGGCACGGCACAATCGTGCCAGCGTGATGGCACGGCACAACACGACCCGTCGTGTGGCTAGGCACGACCCACGATGGCACGGCACGGCACGATGCCCAGCTTTTAGATGACCTTGAGTCAAGGACATGATCAACTAAATTGATAATTTCCATACACCCAATTAAACACCCGATGCAAGTGGCCTCCCCATGACTCATGAAGTTCATGAGAAGTACTTTGTCCTTTATCATTTTCAAGTCCGAAAAAAGTGAAGGTCTATACATGATTTTAGATCAATTTTGAAATTTGTATATAAATAGGAAATGGATGTGGGGCAGGTCACTTGAGTCATAAAAATTGGTTTAAAATCATACAAATTCTACTTGTAAATATATCAGTCCCAAAAATGAATTTAGGGGCCGTTTGGTTGGGGGTATTCAACAAAGGGAATGAGAATCAACGGAATCATTCCCTTTGTTGTTGTTTGTTAGGCCACTTTTCCATTCCCCGTTACCCCCTTCATTCCCCCAAATCCTTCTAAGTTCTTCCCCACCCCCCTAGCCTTTTCCATTCCCTTTCCTTAGCCAGCATTACACCACCATGCCTACACCAGCCACCACCCTTCTACCCTACCCCCACCACACAACCACCACCCAGCCACCTCACCGCTTTCCCCCCGACCATTGTCGTCCCTTCTCCGCCACTCGCCGACCTTCGGTAAGCTCGCACCTCACTCAAAAATCTTCCCCAACCCCTCGTTAGAACTCACTGCCCTTGTTTGCACCTCCGTTACCCCTTGCCGAAGGTTATCACACCTCCCTCATCCCTCGAAAACCTTCCCCGACCCCTTGTCAGCCATCCCTTCCCCTGTTACGATTGAGCGAAGTTCGAATAGAAGAAAAATTAGGGTATTGATGATTGGGGTTTTCTGGGGTTTGAAGCTTGGAATTGACGGCAATGGCTGGTTCAGAGGAGAAGGAAAGGTGAAAGGGATTAGGGGAAGGTTTTCCGGGGAGGGGGAGATATTTTCGGGGGAGGGGAGGTGCGACGGGCTCCGGGGGATTCCGACAAGGTGATGGCTGGGCGGTGGGGTGGCCGGAGAAGTGAGAAAGTGAAGGAAAAAGGCGTGTGTGGTGGTGTTGGTGGTGATGCTGTGGTGGGGTGATTCCCTTTATATTTTTAAAACAAACAATACACTATATGGAATGGTTTTTCATTCCATTCTCTTTCATTCCCATTGTTCATTCCATTCCGATTCCCCTGCCCGAACCAAACGACCCCTTAGTTCAATGAATGACATTATAAGAACAACATGAGAGTTGAAGTTATATGGAGTAGGTGACAAACTAAGTTAGTGTACATGTGCCTTGTTATGTGACTGGTCTCACAAAATTTATAACAGAAGTTTGACCAACTATATTATACACCAAATCACCAACCAACATGAGTAACTACTTAGAGAGCACACATTGACAATGCCCACTTTTATATGGTGATAGTGTGATAGTATTAGGTGGCTTTGAGCCAATTAAAACGTGGGCGACGTTTTCTATTAGGAGTCCAAAGAAAAGAGTTGAAGTTTGACAACTTTTTACTCGATTTTTTTATTTATTTTTTCCTTCTGGAACAATTGCATATATGGGGTATGTATGTCTTGTAGCACCCCTTTCATTTTTTTCAATATAAATATTCACGTAATCACATATGATTGTTGTATTCGTCACAGTTTAAATTTCTAAATTAAATCAATTTTTTTTAAAAAAAATGTATTTACTACCCCGTAATAAAAACCAATAAATATATTAATGTTTAAGGTTTACAGATTCAAGCAAAAAAGTCCTAATGTACCTAATGTGTAGATTGAGAGGAGGAGGAGGAGAAGAAGAAGAAAAAAAAAAGGAGTATTATGAGTTTCTATATGCATGAATAAAGGATGTGCATATCTAGATTCTGTTAATCTTCCAAAGAAGAGCTAAGCGATTCAAACTTGGCCAAGAAATTAGGTGATTGATTAGGAATTTTGGATATGTAGTTTTTTGTTTTTTTTTTTTTTTTTTTTTTTGTGAGAAAGAATTTTGGATATGTTCTAGTCAACTTTCCTCTAGGTTAAAGTTTGAAGACTTTGAATATAGCTTGCCTCAAAAAAAATAAAAAAAATAAATAAATAAATAATAGACTTTTTTGCTTGACGAATTAAGGGCTATTCGTGTTTTCTTTATGTTCATAAATCAAATTAATTATTTTTGATTGATTTATTTTCACATGAATGCTCCTTTTTTTAAAAAAAAAATAAATAAAAAATTATTGGTGAAGAGAAGGGCCTTACGAAGCCGAAACCTCTCACAAGACGTAGAGTACTAGAGTCTAGGGATGTCAGTGGGGTGGGGATGGGTCCCGATTTGACGAGTGGTGGGGCCGGGATGGGGAGAAAAACATACCCGTCATGGGTGATGGGGCCCATTTTAGGTTGTACCCGCCCCATTCCCGCCCTACTCCACCCGCCCCATCCCCACCTCATATTCACATCTATATATTTAAAAAATAAAATTGTATACTTTTATACTATTTTATATTTAAAAAATATTATTTAAAATAAAGTAGTAAATATAATACATTTATATTAATATTTAAAATATAAAAATAAAAAACGTGTAACATTAACAATGTTTTTTTTTTTTAATTTGTAATCTATATTATGTAGTATTTGGGAGGCGGGGATTAGACGGGTCTTGGGTGAGGATTAAGTGTTGGGGAGTATTCAAGTGGGGGGTGAGGCGGGGATGAGTTTGGAATTGTACCCGCCGGGGCGGGGATGGGATGAATTTTGGACCCGCCGCGAAAATGGGAATGAAAATATTTGGTGGGGTTGAAAAAGCCAATATCCGCCCCGCTCCGCCCTGTTGACATCCCTACTATAGTCCATTAACTAAGTAGTGTACGTACAGTCATATGTAAGTACGGAGTACATTGTACATTGGTTTCCATTTAATGATAACAAAAAATTCAACACGATGCTAACATCTGGATTTATAAGGATCGTTAAGAGCTTTGACTTGTTGGGCCTTGAAAATGCAATCATATTGTGGGCTAGGTTTCTTATCTTTATGGGTCGGACCCAAAGCAACGAACTGGTGTATTACTCCTTTTGACACTTTGGTTTAGCACAGCGCCATATCATGTTTATCCATTGTAGTCGTCTAGTCATTAAAGTATTTAATTTCATTAACATTGAATTAGAGGGGTTTTTTTCAAGTATTTATTACTACGTATATTTAATTAAACTTCTTCAGACTAATAAAAAACACTTTGCATTTTAGATAACTAAAAAAATAATAATAAGCAGATTTTAAATTCATGTGGTTATTCAAACTAAGTTTGTACCAAGTACATCATATTTCATACGCGCTGTCGTAGTATGACAGCCCATAATGGTATAATTGAGTTACATTAAATTTTTCAAAAAAGTTAAAAAGCAAAACAAAAAACACTTTATGACTTATTTCCAAAGGAAAAATCTGGATGAATGAAGATAGAACTCACCAGGAATCAACAAAGACCTTATCCTGACTCAAGCTCATTAGAGGAGCCAATGAAACACCATCATGGTCCGGAACAAAGTACTTAGCCACTGCTGCTAACCCAAATCTCTTCTTAACACCACCATCTTTAGCCTCAACTACCGTGCAACTAACTACATTGTAGGTTGCCAACAGCCACAACATCCTCTCCAACATGGATGCAGCTACTATAGGGTCTTGAACTCCCGGTAGGATCGCCGCAATTTCCGATGACAATAGCTGCCTGCCGGGACCTGCCCTTGCAATTATCCCTAGAACATCTAGCTCAATGATTGCATTCATTACCTTGTAACAATAAAAGAATAAGGTTACAAATAAATTATCTGTATACGTATGTACTCTCTGTGTCTCTGTTTGTTCTTCCGTGACATTAAGAAGTCGAATATTGTCTCATAGTATATAAGTACAAGTATATTACCATAGGAAATGCCATTGAATCAACAATCTGCAATGCATATCCACAGTTTTCTTCTTCTTCATTTTCAACCAGAGAAGTAGCCCAATTATTGTCACCCATTTTTATTGTGCAGAGATTCGCTAACTCTGTTAGTGGTCTTAACAATGATCACGTGTGCTTTCTTATACTCGCACTTTCTATTGAAGATTTTTTTTTTTTGTGATGTAATCCGTCAATTGTTGCATAAATACTACGTAAATAAAAAATATGTACAACTATTGTAATTTAAGAAAACATTTGAAACATAAATTCAATAATTCATATACAATTTACTCCGTATAATTTAAAATATATGTATATTCTTGTACTATAAGCAATACTCGTATATACTACTATTATTGTTGTTTAATTTTCACCATCTATACTACATACAGTGCTATGTACGTACTACGGAGTAACATAGTTGTTAAAAACATATGCTAGCTAACACGTACTCAAAATAAAGTAAATTGAATAGTATGTTGTGGTAGTACATAGAGTATAAACGCCAATTTTATCATATAATAATCCCATGGAATCAACTAAATGCAATGGAGTCGAGTCCAAAGTTTTCTTCTTCCTCTTTCTCAGCCAAAGGAGTGTGCAATGATTAATTAGGTAGTACCGTTGTAGCCTTAGTTTGTAGTATGTTTAATTGCTTGTATAATTTTGAGCCAATAATTTTGGTATATAATTTGTAGCGCAATTGCGTAACTGACTAATTAATGGAGAAAACGTAAATCTAACTCACTCATGTTCTTTGATAAGACTATATCCAAAAATTATTGTCAAAAAAATGTATCTTGTATGTACATTGTATAACATATCATTGTTAGGTGGAGATGATGCAACATATTCTGGAAGTCTTCATGTGCAACTTATTATTTGGCCTAAAGTTTATATATATATATATATATATATATATATATATATATATATATATATATATATATATATATATATATATATATATATATATATATATATATATATATTCGGATAAAAGATGCGCGCAAATTTATTTATTTATTTTTTTTCCTAATCATTACTCATTTTAAAATTTTAAAATGGGTAAAAAAAATTACCCTTTAGTACACTTACCTCTATGTGTATCCTCTACATATACCCGAGTGTATATATAAAAGGTGTTATGCTTTATATAGTCCATGTACATGTTATATTACAATACTTCTATGTACCAATACTTACTACTATAAGTGTAGAAGTTAACACTAAATTGTTAATTTTTTCATTAGTAAACTTGATTATGTTATCATAGCTAAAATAAAGTCTCAAAATTAAAAGTAGCTAGAACACCACTTAAGCTTGACTATATGGAAAGTGTAATGAAGAGGTAGCAATTTAACTAGAGGCACGAACGAAATTGGCTTTTTCATTAAAGTGTAAAAGTTCTTATTTAGCTAATTTAAACACGTTTTTATCATATACTACCTCCGTTTTTTTTTTTTTTAGTTAACACGTTTTGACTTTAGCATTATTCACACATTTCCCTTTGACCGTGGTTTGTACTTTATACGTAATGAAAAATATAGTCACGTGAGATCTTGTTAGATTCGTCACGATATATATTTTCAATTTTCATAATTTTTTATTATCGGTAATTAAAGATATGAATGGTTGAAGTTGTGCATTAGCAAACGTGACTAAAGAAACGTGTCAGCTAAAAAGAAACGGAGGAATTATGTGATAACATAAATCTTCTACATATAATTATTCCTACTTATTATCATTTCATAGAAAATGGATTAGCTTGAAAGACAAAATTTCACCTACCTAAGTCTGATAAACAATTTCCTCCATTTTGTGAAGACTATAAATTCATAACAAAAAAAATGAAACCAAATAGCTCCACATTTTTCCACAATTTGGAGCATTTTCCTCAACCATTTTAGCACTTGGTCTCTCACATATTGTTTCACTATGATAGCATTGTAGCATTACTGGCTTTGGAATATTGTTTGGGCCAATCCAAAATGAAGCCCGGTTAACTAAGGACCATCTCATATGGATGAAAGTTTGTTGGGCTTTAAAGTCAATTGCCTTGGACTTGGACTTCAACTGTATATAGTTTATGGATGCATGATTTAATGGCCTAATTAAATTCTTGCATGAAACCTTTTTCAAAAGCGAACATTGTAGAAAGTTGATTGTCAAAAAGAAGCTTAGGAAAGTCAAGATTTCCTGGCATCCACTAGTTTTTTTCTTTCTGTTTTTTTTTTTTTTTGACTACCCACTTATTGTACTACGTAGTTTTATAGATGGTTGACATCCACTAGTTAATTAGCTTGGTCATTAAATTTACAAATTTCTAGAACAACTATCTTAAAGTTAGCTTATTGTGAAACATTTTAGAGTGGTTAGCAAAAAATATTGGCACGGTATAACCTAGATAATGAGTGATGTGCATATTATAAACTCAATCGAAAATGGTAAAGCTAAAGCACGAGTGATGTCATAAAACAGACAAATTTGGGTTAAAGCTACAGTATGCACCTTGTAATTTGGGTTGTCTAATCAGTTTGTAAAAATTTATATTTTGAGAATCAAGGTTAGTTTAGTTGGTTAGAGGCTGTCTTTCTACCCCTGTGAAAGGGGTTTGATTTTTACCTCAAGCATGTAAGATCCCTAATTTCCTCCCTACTTGTAAGGAAATTATCCTTACCTACAAAAAAAAAAAAAAAAAAAAAAAAAAAATAGCCCTTTTTTTTTACGGGAAAGAAAATAACCTTGTTGTATGTAAGTTTTTCAATTTTACCATAATTTTTTTTTTCTTCAAATTATTACAATAATTATCTTATGCATGATACCCAACAAAACCAACCAAATTCAAAGTACCGTAAAAAGTGACAACTTTCTTGACAAAAAGAAGTTGAGTACTTTTATCCGAGGGTAGAGCTGGGTACGGGCCGGGGTGGCCCGCGTGCCGCTCGACACGGCCCGGGTGGTGGCCCGGCACGGCACAGTGGCTCGCTGGCGTGCCGTGGGCTATGCCACGGACAAGAGTTGCACTTTTCAGCACGGCACGGCACGAGTCTGCCCCTTGGCCCGCCAGGCCGGCACGGCACGAGCCCGCCAGGCACGAGGGTCGTGCCAGGCCGTGGGCTGGCCTGTGAAAATGGTCGGCACGGCACAGCACGAGGTTTTGGGCACGGAGGCACGACCAGCTCGGCACGACACGATGCCCAGGTTTATCCGAGGGTAAATTAAAACCACATACACCCATTAGTCGGTCACATTATTCATATACAAGTCCATGGTGAGGTGTGTTTGTAACTAGACAAGTTGATAGTTGAGATGCAAAGTGGATAGATCAAACCACCTAAAAGGTTTCCCCGAGTGTCATGAGGTCGTCTTTGGCAAGCTCTCCTTCCATGATTCGAAGAAGTACATGATTTCGTTTAGTTTTGAGAAATAATTCCAAAACTGAACTGGATGAAAGGGTGCTTTATAAATTATGAGGGTCACAAACTAAACTGAATTGGTTTGGAACTATAACAGAATATAAATAGGTACAATAACATGTCTATTTCGAAAATCAGTTGTAGTGGTTGCAAGAAATGCAATAATCACTAATAGGCAACCTAGGCTTCAATCACACATTAGATTCATTCACACATTTGTTGCGCGTTAGTTGTTTTATAATGGTGTTACACAATTGCTGTTTTTGAATAATAGTTATACTTTTCTACAGTGAACCTTTAGTATCACGAAAATGAAGGATTAAAGGTTTCTTAATGGAATCATAATTAAACTTAGTTATGTCATGTTATGTCTTTTAAATGCAATTTGGCCTATGTGAAATTTTTAATGATTGACTTGAATTTATGAAAGTATCATGTAGGTAAGGTTTGTTATTGAAATAAAAAGTAAAAAGAACAAATAGTGTCTTATAGTTTATCTAGCAGTAAAGGAAGTGAGAAAAAGATAAATGATACTCCGTACTTAAGAAATAAAATGAGTGAATATCATGAGAAGAGCTACATATATTATACAAACACTGTAAAACAGTCATTTCAAGGGGTTTAATTTGCATTAAAAAAACGACAATTTCAAATATTTCTATATTGAAAAATAATACTATATATGTTCTATGCAATTGACACAATTAAAAAATTTTCATTACCATTTATTGACTATAGTTTTCATAATTTTTAATTTATTTATAAAATTATTCCCAGGTAAAATTTTGTTAAGCACGGAGTATAATTAGATGTTACTAATGTTAGTATAAAACATTTGAACATAAATTTTATTGTTAATTTTAGTTAAATATTTATTAATCATACTCTATCTATCGAATATTGATGATCAAATCAATGTATCAAGGTTGACAACTTCAGTTATTATGAAACGAAGAGACTAAAATGAAAAGGGGTAGATGGTGTGAAGTAAATTCGAGGAAGAAGGCATGTAGGTAAAACGTCGACCCAAAAAAAGACCCCAAAATTACTCGAACCCCTCATTGCTTCTTCTTTTTCCCCGTAAATAGTCTAGAAAATGAGCAGAGAAATTCCCAAATGGCAAGATCTGATAACAAGACGCCACGTAGCAAACACTTTTGCCACGTTGGGCGAATCCAAGGGTGTGCTTTTTCCATCAACTATTTCTTACCACATGCGCCACACCAGCCCCCATTTGTAGGCCCCACTGCCTTCGTGTAACTCGCTTTTTCCTTCACTCACCTCAACTCGCTCTCCTCCGAGTTTGTGGCACTCATTTTATCCCTCTCTTTTTCTTTTTCTATATTTACTAAAATACACCAAAAAGTGCACCGGTAGGTCTCTACATCATCCACTAACTCCCTGCCACTTGTCACCATCCTACGCCCTTCATCACCTATTTCCATTTTCTTTTCTCTTTTCTTTTAATTATTAAATGAAAATTCATTCAAATCCACAAGTATTATTCGTGGCTCATATTTCCTCTCACAAACTCCTGGTTTCTCTTCCTTCTATTTGGCATCCTTCTCTCTCCAACTTGGAAATTTTATTATTTAATAAATACAAAAAAAACCCAACAAAAGAAAAGAAAAAGAAAAAAATAAATAAATTCAGCTTCCTTTGCTCATCATCTTCTTCTTCTTCCTCTTTCTTCTTCATTTTTCTCTGTATTTTTCTTTCATTCACTAAAACTTCTTCCACTCTTAGTTTCTCTCTCCTACCTAACTTACCTCACTTCTTTTTATTTCTGCCATTTTTTCTAGCTATACTTTGGTTTCCAGAAATTTCCTCGAGTTGAAATTTTGATCAATTTTGTTATTGTTTTTACTGAAATCAATGGGGTGAGCTTTGTTGTTGATCATGAGCAGATAGCATCTGCTATTGTGTCTTCTTAAGGTAACTTTTAATTTTATATTTCTTTTTTTTGTTGGTTGAATTATGATTTTGAATCTGGAAAATTGTATTGAATTTTTTTTTTTTTTTTGGAAATTTTGGATTGTGCAGATTTGCGAGGACACGATTGTTTCGGTGAGGATTTTGTGAATTTGTGATTGTAAGGAAAATAAAAACTAATAAGAAGAGAAAATGGGGGAAAAGGAGGGAAGTCTGGTTTTTATTTTCTTATAAATTTATTTATTTATTTTAATTTGTGAGAATTAGTTATAAATTATACATATACTACTATACTATATGATATGATGATGCTGTGAAATTTTGACTGAATTTGGTTTGGGAAATGCTAAAAGGCGGATTATCTTTGAATATGTTTGTTGTTGTTGTTGTTTGGAAATTGTTTGTGTTTGTGCAGTAGAATTGAGCTCTAATACTACTGCTACTACTATTACTACTACTATGGGTTTTGGGGAAAGATGACTAGATGAGAAGAAGAAGACGAAGCTATTTATTATCATTTGCTTGTTTTTTGAGAGGATCTGAAGCAGCTTGCTGCTCTTCGTGTCCGTTTAATGGACAATTATTCTTCCGGCGAAGAACCGATCGTTAAGGTGCTTTTGTTTTGTCCCTTGTATTTCTATAATTGCTTACTTTTACTTATTTTACTAGTTAAAGTCTTTTTACACTTATTTAAGAGCTCAATTTTTGTTTAGTCTGTATTAGAGTGGTGATTGTATTGATGTTATAGTATGGCTTTTAACGCGTATTGATATTGTGAAGTATGAACTGAGACCAAAAGGACTTATTATTTTGGATCAAAAGAGATTGGCTAATTTGACTTGTATTGGATTGATTAGTTTGGCTTAAACTACTTTTTATATGAATGAATAAGTTTTCTTAGCTAAATCGACTTATAATTTGGATAAATTATTTTGTGTTAATCGACTGTTCGACCAGATGAAAAAGAATTACTTGTATAATGAATAAATAAAGTTTGGCTAAATTCCTTAATAATTGGATGATAACTAATTGGCAAAATTGACTTATATTTTGGATTAAAAATTTGGGTAAATTGAATTATATTTTTTGTCAATTTGTTTTGGCTAAATCGACTTAAATTTTTTGTTTAAAAGAATTGCCTTGAATTTAATTGTGCTTTGATTCCAATGAAATTCGGATTATTGACATATATTTTGGATTAGAGGGGGTGTTTTTTTGGTCTAGAGTGGGAAGAATCTTATACCTTGCTAATTAATATATATATACTTCTTATGTTAAAAGACTCGAAAACCTTACACAATCACCAAGCAACGGGAGCGATGGACAGAAGAGGAGCACAATAGGTTTCTTGAGGCCTTGAAACTCTATGGTCGAGCTTGGCAGCGGATTGAAGGTTTTATTTTGCTTTAAACCTCTTCTCTATAATTTGTCGTTGAGTTTCTATATCTATGAGATTAGTCTTTCAGTAAGACATTTACTGAATTACCAAGTGGATGATAATGTTACTAATTAATAGTAAATGAGTATTATGCAATGTAAAATCAAATTAAAGGTGAGGTGGGGGCAGAGTATGATATCTAAGTTCAATCATTTAATTGTTTGTTATTACCAAAGAGCATATCAGTCCGCTTGGCATGCTCACAAATGAGGATTTTGGAGTATAGTATTTGAATAGAACTGAATTGGAATTATTTTGTCAATTCTGTTGTTTGGCTCACACCAAAACCTTTTTGTTTATCATTCTGCTAAATCTGAAACTGGCAATATTCTGTTCCTTCCTCTGATCCTTCAATATTCAAGATATTGATTGGTGTAGAATAAAGGAAGGTACGAGATGTATGAGAGTGTCGCAACCATTGAAGACACATGCTCTACATAAATTAATGCCTTTGATTTAGTAGCGTCATTAAAATATTTTATAAATTGAATTAAATTCTGATTTTGTGTTGGCCAAACAGTGGAAATGTGACCAATTTGCCCCCATATCCATTCAGTTCTGTTCTTTGTCTCACCAAACGGGCTCATAGTGCAATTTGTTTTCTATATTATTTCTTACTTGAAGAGCTGCTCCTTCTCTTCTCTTTTCCTTTTTCTGTTTGGTGGTGTGCAGAACATATTGGGACAAAGACCGCTGTCCAGATTAGAAGTCATGCACAGAAGTTCTTTTCAAAGGTCCTTCGGTATCTTTCGTCTCATGCTTTGGTTAAAGTTTTATCTTCTTTTGCTAGTATCTGGAAAATGTTGCGCCTGATAATGTCGATTAATATGTCATGTGGAGCATGCTAGAGATTACAGAGCCTGAAATCACTCTAGATATTGTTTGTGGGAGGGAGGGGGACTTCCATTAAAACTATTATTTCCATCATATATTGGCAAGAGACTTTTGTAATCCATGATCAGTATAAAGAATAATCTTAGTGATGGAATTGAATACACAACAACCAAATCAGAAGGTCAAAAAACAAAGGGTGTATAAGCAAACTCTCTTTGCGCCCAAAAATATTATTGCTCACTCTCTTGATCATCATAGGTAGTCAAGCGCCAAACTATAAAAGAAATTTCTCGTTGATGGCTGATTTCTAGCCTCCAAAGTTTATCAACCTATTGCTACGTGTCAACCTGAGGGGTTTTGCCCAAATCATTGGAGGCTTGTGGCCTTACCCTTACATAGACATTTTCAAGCCCATCAAAGGTTATTTTCGACATGAAGTTATCCCCCCTAGTTCTATGTGTTCATGGGCGCATCAAAGTCCTCCATAGCCTCGTACCACATGTCCAAATGTATGGATTTTTTCATTATAACTATGCTGCACTCATTTTAGACTTGTTCAAATTGCTCCATGCCTTAGTGATATGGTACATTGGTACCCCCATGAAGAGGCTAACATGCTGATCGATTCTTTCGATATGATATGAAAGTTGTAGGTTAAACAATTTGTCTTGGTGAAATCAATTGCAACAACAGCCTCCCCCTTGGTCCTGAATATTAGGAAATTTATGTGTTAAGCCCATTGGATTCTTTGTGTGTGACTGAATATTGGTTGTCATAGTTTGAGAAAATGTCAGATCAAATTGAGGTTCCTTGATCCATTCCAAAATGTTAAAAGTTAGGCTGGAGCTCATGCAAACTGTATTGCAATTACCGAGTCCTCTACTTGCTTATCAACGGGATATATGCTTACAAAATTACATATAATCTATCATGAGTACTCTTATTGTGCTCTTAACCACTCAAGCTATAAAGGTTAAATGTAGTTGCACTTATTTGATATATTTTTTCCATAAAGGATGACTGACATTGAAAATTTTGAGAGGGGGAATGGGTCTTGTTGAAGTGCTTTTATAAAATTCTTCTTGCCAAAATACAATAGATTTTCCTAGTTTCTTGCTTGGTTGTGAATTAGTGCTGGATATGTTGATGGTATATTTGATTAATTCTGGCAGTAACAGCTGTAATGTATGGGTGTTTGATTTTGACATTTTCCTGTTTCCCTCAATTTTGGTGGTTTCTTAACTTCCTTTATTTCCCTTTTCTACTAGCTATGCTAGTATTTCTTTCAATGGATTGTTTTGTCAAAGGTAATTTTGAGATTGAGCTAGTTATAAGAGTTGCTTTGCATGATATCCATGGAGAAAGAATACAGGGCAGATAGAAATATCTCTATTCTTATTAGTTGGAGTATGATATTTTATTCTGATGTGTTGTTTGCATGATGCAGCACCTCCCTGTATGCTTGTGTCTTATTTTGTCAAGGCTTTATATGCCTATGCCTTATTTTGTTTAGGTTGAAGGTTATCAGTTTAAACTAGGGGACTTTGTGTTGTTTTTAATCATAACAAGTTTGATATGGTTTATATCTGTTGGTTTTTAGCAAAATGGTCTTCTGCATAGATCAACAGTTTCCCACTACAAGTCGTGAAGGGGGCTGGTTTGGCCGAGCTCTTATTGCTTGGACAAACCAGTCCCCTTTTTTGATTTTGGTATTGCTCAAACAGAAAAGGCAAGCTTCATGGTTACCTCCTCATAGTGGTGTTCACCTTCTGTTCCCCACAAAATTCCTACAGAAAATTGACATCATTTTTTTGATGCTCATCCCTGGTATTTCACATTAGATACCACACTGGAATTAAAGTAGGAATTAGGAATCTCAGGAGAAATTTGTTTCTCTTGTTACAAAACTTACAATCAGTGTGAAAATTATTGATAAGCAGATATGGAACGCTATTTGAATTAGATTGCATTATAGCTCCTAAGCTGTGAGTTAATAGTCATAGTTTAGAAGATCATGAAGAATTTACTTGTTGAATTAGGCTTACAGAGAAAAAGAAAAGGATAAGGAAAATTGCAGAATGTCCTAAAGTCAGCTAGATCATACTCAGAAATGCCTGAGGTGGATGAAAAACTTGTATCATCTATTGAGTTGGTAGGTATAATAAAATGAATGAATGCGACATGCATCTCACCCACAGCCGGTCTGTTCTAGTTCGGTGACTTCTGTGAGTTCTGTCCTAGGCATCATCATATTGTTTGACATAATTTGTCCATTGGAGCCTTCGAGTCTTGAGTGTCTGAAAAATATTCAATGGCCAGGGCCACTGATAAGGATTCTAAATTTCGTATTGAAAGCAGTGTAATTCCATATACTAGTATCTGTATTGCGCCATCTTTGCCAATATCAGATATGGCCTTACAGTGATTTAACTCTTTCAAGTCAACTCTACTGTCTCAAACTTTAGTAGATTATTTAACATAACTGCGTATCTGGAATATATCTGAATGCAACATTTGCTTAGTGCAAAGGCAACTCTGGCTTTCATTTTCAATATTAATTAATTCTTTTTTGGTTTCCCTTAAAGCTTTTATGAAAGGGGCTTCTTAGAAACTTGCATTCTTTTTATTTCAAGGTGTAAGTTCTTGCGATAGATCATATTTCAATTCTGATTTTCAGTCTCAACATAATGTCTCTATTTTATATAATAATTTGAAAAAGGCATAAATTTTTTGGTCAACTTGGAACAGATTTGAGACATTTACTATTCCTGAGTGGGTACTTTGGACTGTAAATATTCCACAATGCCTTGAGAGTTTTATTAAGATGAATGCCTTTGTTTCGAAAATGGTTTGTATTTTGTGAAATATCTATACCTGAAAAAAATGGCATATTTGGAAAATCATGAAACATATGTGATTCTTTTGCTTAGAGTGATAATCTGGAGTTGGAATTTTCACATTGCCTTTTAAAGTTCAATTGATGATTTGATTTGTTCTTTATCTTAAATGTTGTGTTTTAATGCTTTCAGTTGGAAAAGGAGGCTCTTGTTAAAGGTGTTCCAATAGGGCAAGCAATTGATATAGAGATTCCTCCTCCACGCCCTAAAAGGAAACCAAGCAATCCTTATCCTCGCAAGACTGGTGCTATCAGTTCCCCTAACACACAGGTAAGAGCAAAGAATGGGAAGCAAATACCAGGTTCTATACATACTACAGAAGAAGCTGTAGATTTAGAAAAAGAGCAATTTCCTGAGGTATGGTTTATCCTACACTTTCCGGTCTTGATACGCTAGCTGCCCTTTGTTCATATGTTTTTCTTAATACATTAAGTAATTGTTTATCTTCAGGAACCTGGGGGTGATGATGGAGAATCAAGCCCTAAAGAAATCAATGGTGGTGACAAGTGCACTGAAGCATTTACACTTTTCCGAAAAGCACCATCTGCCTTGGGAGCATCTTCTAATGAATTATCTGCCACAGCCATGGGAACAGCTAGAAAGTTATCCAACTGTAAGGAGTTTGTGCCGATAAGGAAGCCACTTGCCGACAATGAAACAAGAGATCTTAATGTTGCTGATGGACATAACACAAGTCATGAGCCCGATAAATCTGATGTTGTGGAGATGATTCAGAATGACTCAGGTGAGATTTCGATTTCAACTCAACCAACATAGGGATCATTGCTGATGCTTAAATAAGAATCTGATAGTGTTGGTCTATGCCAGAAAATGAAACAAATGCAGCTAAAACATTTCCCAGACATGCTCCTGTTCATATTCTTGAGGGAAACCTGGCGTCATGCAGTCAGGGTTTTTCTTCAGATGTATCATATCAAGAACCTGCATTTCATCCAATGGGGATCCCGGGCCAGCCTGCATTTTTTAGCAATCCTACTATTTCAGCTGCTGTAGAAAGCCAAACTAGCACTTCAAAATCCACTAATCACCAAATGTTTCCAAATTCCCATCCTCCATTTAGTCCGTTTCCTAACAGTCAGGAAAATTATTCGTTTCTGCAGATGTCCTCAACTTTTTCAAGCATGATTGTTTCTGCTCTTGTTCAGAATCCAGCTGCACATGCTGCTGCAAGTTTTGCAGCTTCATTTTGGCCCTGTCCAAATTTAGAAAATTCAGCCAATTCCCCTGCAAGCTCCAATGGAGGTTTACCACCTCGTCCAATGAACTCAGCTCCTAGTGTGGCAGCAATTGCTGCTGCTACAGTAGCAGCTGCTACTGCTTGGTGGGCAGCACATGGACTGCTGTCTTTGTTTGCTCCACTACATGGTGGCTATTCTTTTCCTCCTGCTTCAGCGACTGCTCCATTAGCTAATTTTGGCCAAACTCCACCTGCTAATGAAGAGAACAATTTCCAAACTCCTGGATCACAAGTTCAGCAACCTAACCAGGAATTGTCTGTAGCTCTAAAGCCACAACATTCAGCATCCAAATCCTCAGCGACATCTTCGTCTGATTCGGGTAACGTTATTAGTGAAAAAATGGATATCGGAGTGGCAGCCGACAATAACGAGAAGGATGTCCCTGACTTAAGTGAGCAAAATGACACAAGCAAGGGGAAGAGCAAGAAACAGGTGGATCGCTCATCTTGTGGTTCTAACACACCTTCAGGCAGCGATATTGAGACTGATGCTTTGGAAAAAGTTGATAAAGAAAAAGAAGAAGCCAACGAGCCTGATGTAAGTCGTCCTACCAGTGAACCTAGTAGTCGCCGCAATCGAATCATTGGCAACATGTATGACTCCTGGAAGGAGGTTTCCGAGGGGGTAATTGCATCTCTCTCTCTCTCTCTCTCTCATGATTACCTAACCGAATCATAGAATTTGTTTATTTGTTAACTTATGTTGTGTAATTTAAATACCAGGGGCGGCTGGCATTTCAAGCACTTTTTTCTAGAGAGGTTTTGCCCCAGAGCTTTTCACCACCACTAAATTTTACTGGTAAGAACCAAGAAATGAATGGCATTGTTGAGGAGTATAAGCTACATGCTGAGGAAAGCAAAAATGCATCACAATTGGACCTCAACAGCAATACATGGGAATCTTGCTCCAGTAATCAAGGCGTAGAAAAAATCAAATTACGAGAAGAGGACAATCCCAAAGATGGGCTTCTGACATTTAGTCATGAACAAGGGAAGCTGAAGACAAACAGAACAGGTTTTAAGCCATACAAGAGGTGTTCTGTGGAGGCCAGAGAGAGCAGCAGGGTGATGAATTCCAGCGCTCCAGAGCAAGAAAAATGTTCAAAGAGATTGCGCCTTGATGGGGAGGCTTCAACTTGATGTCTAATGACGCAGGCAATTTCTGTAAGGGAAACCTTGCTCACTACAAGTCCCCCCCAATTATCAGTTTCTTTATTTCATTTAGCTTTATTTCAGTCCTAAAAAGTTCACGAGACTTGTCGTGTTTGTACTATAATAGACTACATTGCTCGATTTCATTTCTCAGACTTCCTCAGATGCTTGCAATCTCCATGAATAGACTTAAAATCATTATTCTCATAAGCTCTGGATCTAAAATTAAAATAAACCTGTTCTGCTGCTCTTCATGTTATCATACATTCTGTTGCTTCAGTTGCCCAGTATTATGATGTAATGGTAAGTGACAATATGACATTGACAAGAACTGCGCAGTCCCAACATTAGTTGACAACACCATCTGCAATATGACAATATATCACAAAGCAGCTGGAAGTATCTTATACCAGTGAAAAATAACAAGTTTCAGTTTGGGCAGTCTATGCTTCTTTATATGAAGTATCGTTCTAAATTATGTCATATAGTTAACACACAGACGCGTCATAACACCAAGGCAAGTCAACTGCAACTCTCTACCACATCGAAAATTCAAAAACATCCATACTTTCACGGAAAATTTTCTGTACACGTAGTGTTGCTGAAGTGCTGATATTTACAATCCAGATAAAGAATACAGTCATATGTACATGCTCTCCTAGAATTTACTCTAATTACAAAGAAGTCTGTATTTTAATCTTTATCAAGCACATAGCAAAAATTTGTCATCTCTTGTGTAAGGTATTGCCATTTTTTTTGTACTCCAAAGCCGGCCTTGTCATGGCTTTTGGGAATCATGTTAGCAGTCAGCCATCCATCAAATGTTATTCTAAGAAATTCTGTACAGTTTCTTGTATTTACTTATGACCGAAGCCTGGCAGCTGCTTCACAGAAGACTGGGACATCTGGGAGTGACTCAGATGATACTCCAAGCTCTTAATATATTTAAGGATCCGCTGCTTACAGTCCGGAGCTAAAGAAAATGGAGGACTCAGTGGCAACAATGGAGCTTCTCTGACAATGAATGAAAACAAAAGCAGAGCTCTGGAGTACAACACTGAGCACTATCTCGATTCCCAACAAACTCATCTGCCTGAAAAAAAATACAAGGAACAAGCATCACCTCATCTTGAATAACAAGAAAGGAAACAAGGAATTAAAAATTAAACATTGATAAGATGTGTGCTTACAGCTCCATCTTTCCCAGCAGCAATAGCAGTCTGATATATAACCTCCATAGCATCAGGCATCTCAGCAGCACCTGAAACACACACACATACACCAGAACAAGAAGGGGGAGAGTTAAGAATGCTAATGTACCCTTGAAGTTGATATAGAAATATTTAATTATGTGAATAGAAAACTGCATTACAAAATCTAGGTCATCTTACCATCTACATCCTGCAAATACTTGGACAGCTTCTCTGTTCCATCATATGCATTAATAAAGCCTTGTTCAGCCCAGACAGCCACTGATGAAGGATTCATAAAGTCTATAGTGTCTTTCGTTTTTGAGCAAGAAGAATATTCTGCTCCCTTGCCAGATTCACTTGCAGAAGAGCTCTGGGGTAAATCACTTTGCAACAGCCACGAGTTGCAATTTCGTAATGCCTTATTCCATAGAGCCAAAACAACCAATTCAACTGAAAATGATTCCAAAAAGAAGCCTGCATTTAACTGCAATAAGCGGCTAAAAAAATCAGCTACATTCAAGACTCACAAACATATTCCTTTACAAACATGCTTTCTTTTTATAGTTAAAGCAGAATGTATGATGTGTGAGGCCCTTTAATCAGAATAAATATGTTCAGAATGTCAACAGGCATCAACATCCATTTACTATGACTTGAGTCCAAAGTAAATGCCAAAAAGATAAGCAGATATAAGCAAGCTACAAGACATAATTGATGAACAGCCTGAAGCTCACCTTATCTCGTGCAAGATCTGATAAAACACACACATACTGGTGTATAAGTTGCAACCTCATTGAAGGATGTAGTATGGGTAGGTCCTGTGCTTCCCTTGATATGGAAGGTGGACCACTTAGAGTTAATGAGTTCATTTCACTCTGTAAAGAATTATCAAAGCCACCAACAAGCTTGGGAGTCAGTTCGTTCATCTCTGGCATGGTAGGCAATTGCTTGTCATGATATGTTGGTGCTAAGTTGCAAGCTTTAGTAGCTGAACCTTTTTTCAAGGATGTTCCCAGAGAAGAAGTAAGGATTTCCATTGAAGCAAAATTAGAATGAACTAGAACATATTCTCCTTCGATAGAATCCAATGAATAAGCAACTGGAAACAGAAGCAAGATAGTCAACAAACTGAAAAACAAGGAAAGTAAACTGAGCAATCTTTATAAACTGACCTCGAGTCTGACTTAGTGACTGAGAGCCATCCTCATCAGAGTGCCTACTTTTGTCAGTAGGAATATCTGGCACAACCCCATAGACACTTCTTACACGAGATGTACTAAAATGACCTTTCTCTAATTCCCTTTTCTCGTTGTACACAGAACTCAGTTTTATTTTCTCCTCAGACACCTTTTCATCTTCATGATGCAATTGAGGACCCTGATCATCAGTTATATTCAGAGATTCAATTTGAGAAATCTGAGAAGACAATTCTGCATTGACTTTAATCCTGCATATGATAAGACAATTACACAACTAATTATCCAATGAACAGACATTAACATCTTAAGCAGCCACTTGTAAATGTAATAGATCAATAAAATTAGACAGTTTCTCTAAGGCTGCATACATCTGAGTTTTCCCAGACCCTAATTCTGAGATGTACTTATTTGATAAAATTAGCATAAAATAAATTAAATACAGGAGGAAGGATTAAGGGTATATAGATTCACATTAGGAACTACCTGGGTCCCATCAAGAATCTGTGATTAAAGAACTCCTCAAATGTAAGGCGTTCAACTGCAAGCACAAACCAACAATAATAATTATAAGTAATATTTCCTCCTCAACTCCCCTGCTACCCTTAAACAAAAGCCAACAAATAATATGGATTTAAAAAATAAAAAGAAAGAAAGAAGAAGATTTTCTCAACTCCTTATGTCTCTTCTTCACAAGTCCTACAGATATACTTCTAAATGACAAGTTCATAAAGCATCCATAAAGAAGATTTTCACTTCTGGTTGGCAAAGCTGACATGCCAATTGCTTTGTGCTAATCCAACTACTCCTATCTTCAGTCAATTTTTTTCTGTGTTTAATCCAGTTTCATTTAGGTATCAAATGCTATTTTTTGAATCAAAATGGATGCTACATCAGAAATAGCTTTACCAATTAGGTTGTTTGTGCACAAAGGTACCTGGATTTTTACGCAAAAGGCTTCTGCAGAACTCCACATAGTCAGGATGCAGGACCTGCAGGGCACCCTCTGGAAATCGCAGTTCAGTCGATCTCAAAATATTTTGGAAAAGCTGTACACAACAGAAAAGTTCAAAGTCATAAAAAGTGTAGCAGAAACTATTTTACTTGGAAATGATAGTCCTACCAGAAGCTATACACTTATACACCCCCAGTCAATAGTTAAGATTACGGAATATGCATCAGAGTAAAGCAGAAAGACCTGCAGCTGACTATTTCCATCAAATGGTGGTTTTCCTATCACCAGCTGATAAGAAATCGCTCCAACACTCCATAAGTCAGCCTGGAAAATCGGACCATAATGTAAGTGTTAATACAACAAAAGATTCCCTAACTTAAGGCATTAGAATCACTTGCATACCTTAGCATCATATTTCTGGTTCTGAATGATCTCAGGTGCCATATACAATGGTGAACCACAAAGTGTATCAGCCAACCCTTGTTGAGTCAAATATCTACAAGATAAAAAATTTCTTAAAATCAGTGATTGTAGAAATAATGTGCCAAGCAAGGCAGACAGCTATAGGAACCTAAGCCATTAGTGTCCCAAAACAACCATTTGAAATAAACACTTGTTGATTTCTACACATTCAATCTGCCTACTCGGACAGTCAGACGTCTCAGACATTAAAGGAATGGACGGAACTTGAGGAGTATCCAAATAAGAAAAGAAAAAGAACTTTGCAAAAACTTTAGAACATTCCAAAATCAAATATGTGACAATGATTAAGGAACAGACAGAATAATATTGATGATTATTAGCAAAATTTTCAGTTAATGTAGCAACATAATAGTAGTAACGAGTAAGGCTGAGCCCGAGCATAAGAAAAAATGATTTAGAATGAAATGACATTGATGGATTAAACACAAAAGGTTAGGAGTACTATACAGATAATGTCAGAAAGAAGCTGCAAGAATAATACATGAGCATCCATTGAGATTTTATAAGTTGCTGAAGTAGATAACCATCATATAATTTCAAGGAATAGGACTAAAGGGGGATGAAGCCAGTTAAGTGTATAGTTACCCCAAAAAAAAAAAAAAAAAAAAAAAAAAAAAGCACATCGTACAGATCATTTCTACAAAAGACATCACAAATTCACAACAAGTTAAACAGGGTAATGGAATATGAGTTGCTATGAGTAGCAATTGCATCAGAAAGGTTAATAAGGCAATACAACTCGTGTTTCAGTGTAGTACAAAAAACACAAACCATACATAAACATGTGAAGAAAGAGAAGTCTTTAAAAACGAAAAGGAGACGTGATAGCAAACATCCTTACCTAGCAAAGCCAAAGTCACCTATCTTCAGCAATGGATTTGTCTCCCTACCAGACAACAATAGGTTCTGCAAGTTGAAAACAATACTAATTTCAGATCAGACCACTTAGGACTTATAAACGAGCAAAGGCGTATATTATCAGAAAATGTTGGACAGTTGGAGCCACAACATCAATAGGTAATATAGCATCTTTGGGAAGGAAAACCAATTGAATGTTTCATAGTACTGTACATAAAATTTTAACTTCCCCAAATTTTGCCATTGCATATTATTTTAAGAGCATGGATAGTTGGATACTAGCAACATAAAACTAGCATATCGCATTGTATGATTTTTTGACAAGAATATAATTGACATTGTTGGATTAAGATCCTAAGAACATAGTACCTGGGGTTTTAAATCTCTATGAATAAGATTGTTCTCACGAAGCACTTGCAATCCTGCAGCTGAACATGCAACCAAGGCTTTATAATGAGGGTTAAAAAAAAATGCACCAGTTGATTTGAATAAAACGAGTGTTCCATAAGATGAAGATGACTATATGGGAAATGGGATAGCTTGTACAGGT